TGGTGGCGACGCGTCCCCTCTGGGTGTAGAATTTCATCTTCAAATGGACAGTGGAGGGAACAGAAGTCAATTCGATCAATGTCGATCTCCCCAGGATGCAGTTATAGAGAGAGGGGAAGTCGATCACCAGAAACTGCACCTTGATCTGTTGGGAGGCAGTCTCTTCCCCGAAGGTGACAAAAAGCTCAATGTAGCCCCACAGTTCGGAGGTCGAGCCATTGAAACCTTGCAGGTCGGACCCCGCGTATGGTGACAGGTGGGTGTCGTCGAGTTGTAAGGTTCCAAACAAATGACTATACATGATGTCGACAGAACTCCCCTCGTTGACCAGAATACGGTGCACATCGAAGTTAGCCATCCTTTCTCTCACTAGCAGAGGGATGCTCGAGTTGGGGGACCCTCCGGGAAAATCCTCCTGGTAGAAAGTGATTGGTTCAAATTTTCCTTTGAACCTCTCGAGTGTCTTCGCTTGGGTTGGGGTTGCGTCCACCAACTCGTCGAGCTTCCTCTTCACAGATTTTACAGAGAGGTCGTTGAATCCCCCTCCAGTTATGACCATGGCAGAGGGGAATTTCTCCCATCTACTGTGCATGGACAAGGGTTCGTCCTCGTAGTTTTCGAGCATGTAGAAGTGCTCCGTCCTTGCCACTGAGAAAGCTATATGGATAAGTCTTGACTCATCCGATGGTCGGGTTCCTTCCTCGACTTCTTTCACCTTACATGTGCCTCGGCGAGGGGCGTCATTGTGTCGGTACTTCCTAAGTCTGCCACCCTTGATGAGGGTTTCAATGGAATACTTGAGGTGGACGCAGTCTTCTGTCAGGTACCCGTGACTCCGATGGTACTGACAGTATTTTGTCCTGTCAGCCTCGGGCTTCACAGGAGCAGATTGAGGACGTCTGACGTTGCCGTCCTTTAAGTCGGTATTGAAGCACTCCGCCAAGATGTGCTTATGGAAAGCGGCCAACGGAGTGTACTTTGTGAATCTCCCTGCTGGTCCCCTATGCTCGTGGGGATCGTGCGGTTTATCATCCCTTCTCTTCTCGCCCGTCCTTCGGGAAGGGCCCGCGTCCTGGTGTCGCAGGTCGTTGACTGGTCCACGATTCCTCTAGTCGTGGGCTCTGTTGGTCGCTTCCTTTTTCTCGTAGTCCATATAAGCCCTGGATTTTTCGAGGAGAGCGTCGAAAGACCGGGGTGACTCAATACCGATGGCCTTTCTGAACTCAGTGCCCGGGAGGAGTCCTCTCTTGAGCAGATACCTTTTCATGTGATCGGTGCACGAGACCTGAATGGCCTTGCGGTTGAACCAATTTCTAGCGGTTGAATCGATCGATGTATTCCCTGAGGGTCTCGTCGCTTCTCTGCACGATAGCCTCAAGGGCGGCCTCAGTCTTCAAATGTCGACGAGATGGGGTGAAGGAGCTGATGAACTGGTTCTTAAGGTTTCTCCAGGAGGTGATCGACCCTGAGTCAAGGTTCTTGTACTAGTCCATAATAGTTTTTCTCAAGGTCGTGGGGAACAACCAGCACTTGATCGACCCTCCGACGTTATGGTAATGAAACATTGCCTCGAACCCATCGATGTGGTCGACTGGATCTGCAACGCTGATGTATTCCTTTAGTTGGGGAGATTTCTCCATTCCCCTAGGAATAGGTTCCTCCATGATTGCTTGGGATAAGGGACCGCGGGGGTTGTCTTTATCGCTTCTGTACGGGGAGCGGGAGGGGGACCAGTTGTAATGGCGGTTGGGGTGATGCCCTTGGTCGCGGGGAGGATCCCTTGGATGAGGTTGTGTTTTCATGTTTCCCTTATTTCTGTTTTCAGGGGATCATCGTTCCCTGCGTGGGGGGTGTGGCTGTGTCTCCTGGTGGTTTCAGACAAGGTTCTCTCCAACGCGAGGCCTCGCCCTGTTCGTCGGGGGGAAAGGCTTTGCGGTCTGTCTCGTCTGTGTCTCTATAGGGGAGACTGAGGACAGTCTTTTTTCTGGCGGGGAGGAGGAGTGTCAAGTCTCTTGTGTCTTCTGGGAGCCCGACGATTCTGTTTGAGCACCCTTAGCCGCTCACGCTGTGAGAAAATCAAGTAGTTTGTTTGGTTGATGGCCACAAACATAGCTCTGGTCGTGGCATCAGCGCCCGCGGGGAAGAGGACCTCCTGGAAAGCATTTGGTTCATAGTTCTGGGGGGATGGACATCCTCGTGTGGTCGAGAGTGGGATGACTAAGAGGCGGTCATCCCGTCTCTATAGTTTTGCTCGAGTCTGACCATATCAATGTCGTTCCCGACGTTGTTGTTACTAATATTGTCGTCGACGTTGTTGTTGATGTCAGTGAGATGGGCATTTTGGTTGTTGTTGGCAGCTTGGTCGGCCATGACAATCACGAAGTTTGATAGAGAGTTGCTTTAGTCTTGATATGAAGACGGGGAAACTGGTTTCCTACAGACGGCGCCACTGGTCGTACCTGACCAGAAGGAATTGTCAAAGGCGTAAGCTTCAAGCTGAGTAGCAGTGAAAGGTGAAGTGGGGGTACCTGCAAGACACTCTGATGTCAAAGTGAGATTCAGAGCTAATGCAAGTAAGTGAGTATGAGAGTGTGAATGAATCAATACCCGATCCTCTCAAGTGAGAGGGTATTTATAGCTCCAGCGTTGGACCAATGTCTTCAATGTTGGGCCACGATGAGATTCATTAACAAAGACTGTCAAGGCTTACGTGTGTATGGAGTCCAGCACATGGCCTCCTTCCTAGTCAATTGCTCCGAGAAAACAGGTGCTGGATCTGTGATTCCTAGAGGGCAGTATGATGGTGATATGGACACGTGGACAACATCTTCCTAGTGGACACGTGGAAAAATGCACAACGGTCTCTACTTTGGGCTGCATGCCTTTGAGCCTTAGACAAAGGCACTGGATTGGACCTCCCCAATGGTGAGGCAAGTGTTGCCCAGTCCAGAACAAATATGTTATTTTCGACACTATTTTTAGCCGTTATTTATATATAGATATAATGATTTCAAATGTATTTTATTTTCTATCGTAAATAAAATTTTTCTTTATAAGATAAATTCTATAATTTTTTATAAATATCATTTTATGCACCTCATTTTCTCTACAAAATAATTGATGTTCTTTATTTTATATATTTTTGTTCATTAAAACTCATAAGATAATTTTTTAAATATTAATCTATAGAAAGAAAGAAAAAAAGCAACAAAGTTATAACTTACCCACCAAAAATAAATTTGATATCTACAATATAAAAAAAGTATATTTTTTCTCTTCACTTTCTCTAACTTCCACACGTGGTTTCTGGAGAAGAGAGCAAATAATATCTTTTGTTTCAAGTGTGTTAATATTTTTTCTCATCATTCAAATAGTTTTCACTTCGATTTTTCAAATCAATATGACCTAGATAATAGGATATGTTAGTTTTAGATATTGAAATTCAATAACTTTTAAATTTGTTTCAAATTTTAAAAAATTATTTCCATAAATTTTTTATTTTTGAAATATTTTTCATACATAATTTTTCTATAATTATTCTTATGTTTATTCTATGATACATAGGTACGGAGGGGTATGGTATCGAGTGCAAGTATTTGTTAGGTTCGGGTTTCCGTCCTATGTGGAGAAAGACTCAAATATTAATAGTCTATTTATCTCACTTATATAAGTGGAAAGTGTCAATTTAGAGTTAAGAGAGATAGAGAAAAATAAAGATTCAAAAAGAGAAGAGAAACTCATTCGGCTTTTCTACAACAATCTGACTAAAACAAAGATCTCTGATTCGTTCATCCTTAGATCGATCTGAAATTTAGTGAGCTTGTTCTCAACACATATATCTAACTTTTGACCATTGAATTCTTCAAAAAAGAGTCTGAATTAAGAGATATGGTCTTCGCACTGAAGCTGCAAATTTGGAAAAAATTTCAACTTTTTTATTCTTATTTGTAAGTTTGTTTGCTTTGTGATTTGCGATTGTTATCATTATTTTGTGAATTACTTTAAAGACTCTCTTGTAAGCTCAATTGATTATAGTGGAGTTATTTTCTTTAGTCTGGACGACTCGTGGTTTTTACTCTCAGATTGAGGAGTTTCCACGTTAAAAAATTCTAGTGTTCTTTTGTACATTTATTGTTCGGTTGCCTTTTTATATTTGTTGTTGATCCTCAAGGTTCCTACAAATTTTAAAAATATTATATCTGCTACATATTATTCTATTATTTTGTCTTAATTTCCCATCAGTACTGATACGAAATACGACATTTAAAAAAAAACAATGTACGTAATAATAAGAATTTTTCTATAAAATGTATAAGATACGAAATTGTTAGGTTTAGGTTTATATCAATATATCATTATAAAAGTTTTAAAAGATCAAAAATAACATTAAGATATAATAACAAAGAAATTAAAATATTAATATTATATTATTGATATTTGAGAAAATTACAAATTTCATTCAAAATCGAATAATGAGAAAAAAGAATAATGAGAAAAAATGAAATACTAAGAATATCAATACCAGTACTTCACCATTTTAGAAATACCCGTACTTTAGAGTGTTTATTTAACATTTTCATGGAAACATTATTCTTGGTAAATACTAATCTTAAGAATATGATCCTAAGGAATAAAACAAACAACCTCTCATTTATTTTTTTCCTCTTCATATTTTTAATCTTTGTTTTTGAGTGTGTCTTGTTTATACTTAATTATTAAATTAATTCCAACTAGACATACAAGTTATCGAATGAAATATTAAAACTGTATATGACTATAAGACTTTTAACAAACGATTTTAATAATATTTCTTGCTGATGTAATGAAATGAAAGTATGAGAAACACTTTCATGATTACAAGATAAATATTATTTGAGTACATCATACAGACATTTCTGTGAATCTATATCATCAATTAGACCTTAGCAAAGCAAACAATTCTTTAGTTGATAAATGTTGATGAAGAGTAAGAGCTTTACAAGTCAACAACACATTCTCCAATGCTCTCTTTCATACATACTCTTTTATATTGGTATGTCAATGTCAATATATCATTGAAATCAAAGAAGCAACAAAGCACCCACCAAAATACTGAATTATATTCTTTTTATACAATATTTATTTTATTTATAGAAAATAGTTGGTGTAAATGTCAAATTTGTCACTCCATAACTCAGGATTCTGATATTTTCTTCATACAACATATCTATACACTCCTCTTTTTTGTATGTATTGTCAAACATCTCTTGGGAAATATATACAACAAACTGACATTACATTCCAACACTGCAGAACCATTTACCTCATTCCTCACTACTACTATGCGTTTCTGTGTTTCTGATATGTGTTCAATGTATACAGAACTATAGGGGCCGCCCTATGAATAAATCTCTCATCAGGTGGAGTTTTGAGTGAGTAAATATGCACAGCCTTACCCTGCAAACAAGACAGACTGTTTTCAAGATTTGAACCGCCAAGCTTTACCCTTATCATGGTGCCGAAGGTCACTAGACTCGACATTCAACATGCAAGTGCTCCCATATATGCCGAATGTTTCAAGAGGATATCGGTAATGACAATATTCAAACTCCTTTGGAATGCAGAACCTCCATAAGATTGTGAAAATATCGTCAAAATCTTGTCAAAGCAAAACGTAGATTTGTCGCATTGAAGTTGTTGATCATCTAATATGATGCTATGAACTGCCTACCAAGTAGCAACTGTTACTGCCGGAGCTGCCTAAAACGCAAGGCATATCACGAACAAGAAACCTTGCATTCCGTGTCCCCATATCATTCAATATTTCTAAACACTCTTGCAAATCCGAGTCATTCACTAACATCACCCATTCTTCTTCATCATCTAGATATTTGAGCTGGAATGTCCCGTATTGCAGTTTGAATCTTGCTGCAACTTCTTCATATAGTTTAAAACAACCTGTGGATGGATCAAATTTAAAGCGAACGGTGTCTTCTCCGTATGTAGCTTTCACAATGATTTTTGTCCCGCTATCAACAACGGTTGATTTGGCTTTGGACTGCTTTTGGTTCTTAAAGTTCTGGTAACTAGATGAACTCTCATGCATGATTGAACCCGAGGCACTAGATGAGTCTGTCAAGCTTGAAGAAGTAGGATTGTTGCGTTCAACAACTTCATCATCCCCATCAGCGTCACTGTCCATGTCTTCAGCAACAAAGGAGCTTCTCTGGCCAATAGCATTACCTTTTGCAGGAACAGAACTAAAACAAGCTTGTTCGGGAAAATCATCCATTGCAAATGATTTTGAATCTTCACTGCAATCAATCATAGAAGCGTTGGTTCCCTTCAATTTTCTATCCAACTTATCTGCCGAATTCTCACCTTCACTACAAGGTGCAGGAGGCACTGAGGCAGCTTCTTCTGAAATAGGCTCGGAGTCTTGTGTAGTACTTTTCTCCGGGAAAAGGAGATTTTTACTTTCATCAATTTCTTGGATGATTGTCCCTCCTGCCACAAAAGCCCCCATGGAGGGATCAAACTTTAGCCCGCCTTCAACTCCCTGAACAGAGTCAAGCACAGTCTGAATTTTCTTCAAAGAACGATTCACTTTATTAATCTTGCGGGATGGCCATCTTGAAATTCCGTGATGCCTGCATATCCTTTTAAGAGTTGTCGGGCAAACTGCTCAAAGAAAAATCAATTGTTAAAAACAAACACGTTTCAATTAATAAGAATGCTTTCGGAAATATAAAACATATATAGACAACGAAAGGGCATTTTTTGTTTTAAATAGAACAGCCGTGGTAAATTGATGTCAATTAAAATCGTTAGATACAATGATGATATTGTTATTTAAATACACTAAGCTTTGAAGATGTCATACTGTACATCTCACTTTGTAAACATCTCTCTTGTAAAATATATTTCATAATAAATTTGACAATCAAGTGATGGTTGTTAATACAGAGGTGTAACATGCAATCAGAACCGTTTAAACAGTTCCATCATAAAGGAGCACGATTTGGTCATTTTCTTGCCGAACATGTGAAAACAACAACAACCACCAAGCCTTATCCCATTGGAGTCGGCTACATGGATCAACTTCTACTATAATATTCTATCCAGGACCATGTTTCTATTCAAATTGTTAATCTCGAGATCTTTCTTAATAACTTCTCTTATAGCTTTTCTAGGTCTTCCTCTACCTCTAGTTATATGACTTCTCTCCATTTGATCTACTCTCCTTACCACAGCGCCTACAACTTTTCTCTCTACATGCCCAAATCGTCTAAGTTATTTTTCACCATCTTTTCTACTATAGGTGTTACCCCAACACTCACTCTAATATTGTCATTTATAATCTTATCATGCCTAGTTTTACCACACATCCAACGCAACATCTTCATCTCTGCGATACTTACTCTATTCTCGTGCTGATTTTTAATCGCCAAACAGTCTATCAGAATGACATAGATCAGGCGAAAACAATGCTGTAAAAAGCCTTGTCATTGTATGGGGAAGGGTTAGGTATATGTGAGAGTTAGGACGGAAAAGAAGAAGGTGTATGTGGCATCGATCACAGGCAGATGATGGTGTAGAGAAGGTTTTGCTGGTTTAGGGTAGCTATGGCTGAAGGTGGATATGGCGTGGTTGGTCAACAGAGGCTTTGCTTTTATGTTGGTGCTGGTGAGGGTGTATAATGTTGATAAAAGAAACGTGTATACTGGTTATAGCAGGCTTTGCTTTTATGTTGGTGCTGGGGAGGGTGTATAAAAGAAACGTGTATACTGGTTATTGCAAGAAAGGAAACAGATATTACCGGTTTAAATTGTTGCATTCTAATTCCATTGTATTTTAAATTATCTAATATTTTGAATCACTTCATCCAAACAGAACATTAAGGTATACGTTTCAAATTATGGTTAGGACTCGTCTATATAACTCAAGCAAAATGATATAAATTGACAACCATCACTATAATCCAAAATCAATAAGCCAGGCCAATAAATATACAGAAATTAGGACAAATAACGTTGGAGCCTAACCACCAATGCTTTTTGCAGCATCCTTCAGACTACCAGAAAAGTATTGTTGGAGAACCCTCAAGCTAACTTTCTTCTCTGATGTGGCTCTACTTTTCTCAGCTCGCCTTCTTGATCCTTTATTTTCCTGCACCATATAAGTTAAATATCGGGAAACACTAAAAACAGTTATACATCAATAACAAACAAAAGTGATGCATAATTTATATCAATTTGTTGCTCCATCAGTATACTCTTTTTTATAGTACAAATGAAGTGTGATAGAGTAATAGAGGTTTAGAATTTTTGGTCCCCAGTTCTACTCCTTGATTCACAATCATTTCTAACAAATGCTTCTTCAGATAGAGCAGTCAAATCAAAACTCATGCATTGGGGTCAAGGATAGTAGATGTGAACCTGGTTACAAGAAGGCTCTTTTCTATTGTTTCTCAGGTCCGAAGCCTCCGACGACAGCTTCTGGACAGAGCTAAGGTTTTCATTTATTAATGGTATCTGAGAACTTTTCGTGGACGAGGGGGGGAAACTCGGGACTCTTTTTTTTCCAAACCCCGCATGTTTACATTCTATCCCTGATAGTTCAACACCTGAAACTGTCCTCAAACTCTTACAAATTCTCTGCATGGTACCTGAGAGGTTGTCTAATAAAAGTTGCTGTTCTGAACTCCCTTTCATATTGATTGGCAGAAAGAATTCCAATATGTAATCATCGTCATTAGTATAAATACTCCTTAGCCTGATTGCAACTGCTGCGTTCAAATTGAACTTCCGTGCATGATGAACAAGTGGATACTCACTAATATCATACGTTTTCACGTCAGAATAGAAGTAAGGGTGATTTGATTGAAGAGCTTTCCCAGCTACACCTTTCCCTTCCTCAAGAGGATGTTGGATGCATGCACGCACAAATCCTTCCATCACTCTATCAGTCATATAGCAAGCTGACTCTTCAATACACAGTATGCTTTTTTCTTTAGAACTTGAATTACCCTCTTTAATTTGTAATCTAGTAGTTTCTTCTCTTGTGCCCTCAGTGTGAAAACAAGGAATCCATGTTAGTGCCATTGGCAATCTATGTGCATGACACACGGATCGTAACACGTCAATTATCTCTGTTAAAGCAGCTCTTTTATTGGTCGAAAGACACTGCAGAAGAAGAAACAATATTCTAAGAAGTGTGAAACCAGTGGATAAATAGAAATGATGTTAAATAAAATACCTCGGGAAGCAGCCGAATAGGCAAAGTAGTCCTCAAATTTACAAGCTGCGGAAAAACATGAGAAATACATGTGTCAGTATCCATTACTACCTTCAGTTTTGATAAAATATGCAAATTTATAAAATATAAAAATATATTAATTCTAAGAAATTGAACAGTGCATCGATAACTGGATAGACTGAGATATGTGGTGGTCTTTGAAAGATCTTGGCAAAAGATAAAGAGGTTTCTTGGTCAAGTGAATGTAAGATGCACTTTGAAATAATGCAACTACTCATATATGTGTCCTAATGAACATTGGATGTGTCAAAACCATATCATTATTAGGGTGGGAGCACCTCTCAATTATAGAGATTTTTTTGTGTAGGAGTCCTATCTATATTTCGTTATTTATCTTGATCATCTTTGTATATATAGTTATATATCTAATGTATTGTAAGCATAATTCATTCAATGAAATATACTTTACCCTATTTGTTCACAGGATGCATATACAAGACAACTATAGACTAGAAACACATAAGGTCAATGAGTTTTAATTTTTCAATTTAGCTACGATCCCTAATGCAAAGAAAGGACATGAGACCACCCAACCATAGAAATTTTACTGCCTAAGTGCCCCTAAACCATGGTGTGGAACAATATTGTACATTATTAAGTATTGACCATACGATACTTTGCCAGCTAAACTACAAAATTCTCCATGATAACTTTGTATTGACTCTATTGAGCCATCTAAGTCCTCAATGGTAATGTGAGAATAACAAATAAGTCTCAGATAATGTATTTGTGCAACACATATCTGCCAAAATAAATTCCAAACAAGTTTGCATCATTTTGTGGGCTAAATTCCTTAAATACTTAGCAAAGCAGGGCAATATAGATCCAAGTGAATTCACAGTAAAAAAGAAAAATAAATTGAGGGCAAAGAAGTTTCTGAATTGTATGTGAAGGGAACCAGGTCAAGTTGCTTCAGACTCAACGCAAAAAGGAAAGCTTGAACGGAAACAACAAAAGAAATTCCTACCTGAAGTGAACGACAGATAATTTCCAGTTCTTTGTCAAAATCAAGCTTTTCCTTCGTAGTGACAAGTTCCAAGACAGCACAACATGGCATTCCAGAGTGCAGATCAAATATGGGAAAAGCAATTGATCCACGAACATCGTGATTTCTTGCCTGCTCAACCCTCAAGTACTCACTTGGATTGTAATAACCAACATTGGAAGTCCATTCAGGAACTTTGGAGATAAAAACACGACCAGGAAGTCCCGGTAAACAGCCAGGTTTTCCTTCTGTAGAAAATATAAATGTCCTCGACACTTCACGATACCCTGCAAGCATTTGATCTAGTAAATAAGGTTGCTCACTAGTGCTTAAAAAGATTTGACCATCATGCTTTATAGGCACCCAAACTTGTGCCAATATTCCCCCACCAGCTGATTCTTTAAAAAACGACAAGGCTTTCAGCATTTTTTCATCAAGTGACAAAGTATTAACATGCTGCGTAGAATCATCGATTTTTTGCTTAGAATTTAAGTTATTTGCATCATCGGTGTTGTCTAAGAAACCACGTAAGGTGTCCATTTTCTGACGCACAACTCTCTCCGCAAAAACGGGGGAGCTATCCGAATTATTGTAATTTCCACTTACTCCTGTCGTACAGATTTGCCCGTAGTTCTGTTCAACAGGATTGAATCCATCCGGTGATTGATATAACACCGAGGCAAAAGACGGAATCTCATTAGCCATAATCTGATCAGTCATAGACGGACCAGAATACAAACCAGCATAATTATCAAAGTTCATGAGCTCGGAGAAATTACTAGGCATATCCTCTGACACCAAAGTGCTGATTCCACCATCTAACGACATTGATCCTTCCAACTCAGTTCCCGGAGACTGCCAATACCCAAATCCTCTTCCCTTAGAATAAAAAGGGTACTCCATACTTAGGTTAGAAACAAAAACTGATCGAAGTATAACAAAATTCAGAGTCCCTCTATGTAAAAAAATTCACAACACATTGCTTCTTTGTTACCAGCATTCTTGAAGCCTGTAAACTTTTGCACCCAAATCAGCTAATTTTATAATAAAAGCAAATTAAACAAGAACAATTGAGCATAACCCCTATATAAAAATTTCCAAAATCTAGAATTTCAATCTTCAAAGTTCAAAATGACACAAGTTAAACAAATGCCTCAAACAACAAGCATGAAAATCCAACTGAAAAACACAATGAAACTAGGGTTCCCAAAAAATTTGCAAAACCACAATTTGTGAAGTATGAAGATTGTGAATTGTAATTCTAACCACATGCATATAATGCAAATCGTTAACAAGAAGAAAAAAAACCCTAGAAATTGGGGAAATGTTGAACCCTAGAAATGGCTATGTTAATGAATTGACAACCGACCTTAAAATCCTCGAAGGTGACGAAACCTTGCTTCATAAAATTCATCAAAAAAGAGACATCTCAGGTGTGAAGTGAAGTGAAAGTAGTTAAAAGATTTGGTGGGAACTGTTTGGTTGCTAAAAAAGGAAAGAAAAAACAAAGCATAGTTCGGACGTAAGATTCGGAAATTGTGTTTCTATAAATGGTGGACGGTGTTTCCAAGCCGCTTTCTATCTTTCTACGGTATTCCCTACCATGTTTTCTCATCATTTTCCTTCGGGTCAAATTTTATTTTTATTTATTTATTTAATAAATAAATAACACTTAAATAAAGTCTTTGTGGGTCTTAAGTTTGTTGTTGGTAAGATGTGTCCTCTTATTTTTCTCCGCTCAAAACAATTTTATAAGGAGGGAGTTGGTTTTTTTATAAGTTTTAAAAGGAAAAAATTTTGGAGAGTTATATTTTAGAATGTGTTTGATACTTTTAAAAAGTTTTAAAAAAATATAATTTTATTTTTTATTTTTTTTTTATTTTTTTTTTGAAAATATCAAACACATTTTAAGATATAAATGCTTTTAAAGTTTTTTCTTTAAAATTTAACTCTAAATGAATATAGAGTCTTTATCAATTTGTTATAGATGTTAATGTTATATTATAGTAGAATATGATTTATTTTAAAAAAAATATTAAGTTTAATATATGTATTTGAAATAAAGAACATAAATAATAAAATATCTTTTTTTCTTCTTCTTATTTTCTCTACTCAGTTGATATTTGTGTAGAAATATTAGAGTTAATTTTAAGAATGTGCAACTTGTCTCGTTGTATAAGATCAACAGAAATTGAATTTTTAAAATATTAAATTATTCAAATTTATTACCTGAATAACCAATATTCTTCAATAATAACCAAAATACTCATGTTTCAAATTAAAAAAATCGTAACTAAGAGGAGGCGTCATTGTTAGGGGTGGCCAGATTTTGCAAATTCGGCCCAAATCGACCTACCAAAAGGGCCCGAAAGCATGTGGGTAGGGTATAACGGGTGATCTGGTAACTGAATTGCACCCAAATGGTCTCATATGGGTTTGCATGATCGGTTAAGGATTCATTATTTGGGCCCATCGAAACCCACAAATCGATCGACCCATGTAGTGGAGGATTAGGGTGAGTGACTTGAACTGAAGTTTTTTATGGGCTGGTTGTGTTAGGATGCATTTGCCCGACCCAAATACTTAACACAAATATGTTTGTTAGTCACCTAGGGTTTCATTCGTTCTCAGTTCACTGTTCCAAATTTGCTCTCATTCACATATCTCTCTATGGCGCTAGGGTTTCGAGAAACACCATTAAGTCGTCGCCATTTGGTCATCAACGACCACCACGAAAATCCATCGATGTAATTTACTCTTGCTTCTCTATCTCGTTTTCTCTCTTTCGATGTTCTTCTCTTTCTCTCCATCTCTGTTTCTCTCAATTCTCATCATGAAAAATTGATGTTGGCAATATTTGTTTATGGTTTAAAATATGTTTGTTGATGGAACACGTATTAATCTTGTTTGTTATGCTAATTTCGTTTTGTTTTGTTTTATTGGAAGATGGAACATGGAGAAGATACTATGAAAGGTGCTGGACATGGGAGCTTGCAAGGAGCTGAAGAAGGGAATTTGCAAGGAGTTGGAGAATGGAGCTTTTATGGAGCTGGAAGTGCTAATTTGCAAGGAATTGGAAGTGCTGATATAAGTATGTTTGTGTGTATCGATAAAATTTGTGTATTGCTGATATAACTTATAAGTATGTTTGTGTAATTTGCTGATCGCTAAATTTTAGATTGACGTGAATACTTTCACACTCTTGGCATTGAGTTCTTGAAGCTAATTGTGTCTTCTGTTTTGTGCTATAATGGGTCACAAATTTGATGAGTAGTTTAAGACACTGTAATTTTTGGAAAAACTCATTGTGAGTGTTACTTGACATGTTAAAATGCATGTTTAAGCTGTGTAGAAAAATTCTGAATTTTATGCTATAATTTTGTAGAAACCTCTGCAGTGGGAATGTTAATTGTTGATATAAATAGTGGTCTTTTTTGTCTTTGTTATAAAAATTCAAACCTCTCGTTAAACTTTGATGTTCATAATGATGTTTGGTGTTCATGATTTTTGTTGGTTGCTAATAACATGTCATGTCTCAGGAACTATCATCTTTATTATATAAAAAGTAGTAATGTCTTGAATAAGGAATGATTTACCCTAATCCCTCCAATTATCCCGCTCATTAAAATGCAAACAATTATTAAATAATAATGCTTGCAAATAATACATTCAGTCGTTTTTATTTACTATTTTGTATGACATACACTCATTCCATTATTTTAGCTCTCTTAAACTAAAATCATTATGTATTTTTCTCATCTCAATTTATGATAAAAAAATCACACTCTATCCATTATTTTCTCTCTCTCAAACTTAAATCATTTCATATTTTATTATAAGTTCTCTATATAATCAAATGTACCATTAATATAAAAAACTTCCAATTTTAAAATAAAAAGTTAAACTAACTCCATTATTTTCTCTTTCAAATTAAAGTTATTCCATATTTTTCTCCTCTCAAATTATGATATGATCTCCTCTATCAAGAATTACTTCAAAGAAAGGATTAAATATATTTTTAATCGGTGATGAAGGTCAAGATACAACTGAAGTTGGAAATGTCCTTTACAAAGAAGTTTTTCGTAATATTCAGTAGTTATTTGTTTACTTATTTATCAACAACTATGTGACTTGAAGTATTATACTTCATGCAAGTCTAAATTTAAGATTAAATTATATTGTATTATAAGTTTGTTTGTAATTTTTTCATACATTATATTGATTTATATATATAGTATTCTAAAATATATGTGCATTGCACGGGTCAACATCTAGTTGGTAATAACATGTTGGAAAGTAAGGATCACATTGGACAACAACTAGTAGTTTTTTTGGTCATGTGTGTATGTGGTGTATGTTGTGTGTATGTGGTGTAGGTTGTTGTTTGGTTGTTTATATGTGGTGTATGTTGATGTCTAGTTGTTTGTATGTGGTGTATGTTGTATGTGGGCATGAAATTAGGCTCATGTGTGTTTAAGATTATGTCATGATTTTTTAGTGTAAGTTGTGTATTGTTGGTTGTTGTTGAGTGTGTCAAAACATAGGACTGGGTGTTTTTGTTTACCAAAATATTTTCAGTGACGGAACCTACACAAGCTGGACCTACACAAGTAGAATTCGTACTTTCTCCCTGTAATACGGTGGGAGAACTGACTTGGGTGTTTTGCATTTTATCGTAATTGTTGCGGATAGCAAGAGTTACCACCGACTTTTCTTTTATCCAATAAAGGAAAGGGTGAAAAGAACAGGAAAGACCTTTGAGAATTTTTCTTGAGTTCGAGGGATAGGTTATGAAAAGGGAATGTGTGAAGGTTGAGAAAACACTTAGAAGGGGGGGGGGGGTTGAATAAGTTTCTCTTTTTCTTTTACTTAAAGGCTCAATAATAATGGAAAGACACGGTTATTTTTATCATGGTTCGTTTGAACTCAAACTACTTCAGTCTACCCGCCAAGGTGATTTCGCCTTTCTCAACAAAGACTTAATTCACTATAATCAACTGATTACAATCACACGACAACTGTTGTGACTAACAATGCACAAGTAATCTTACAAGTGACTAACACCACTAAGACTTAAACTAGTCCTAGTCTACTTGAGAAATTTGACCAAACTTGATCTCTCAAGGAACAATTACAAGAGTTAAATCTTTACAGATAGTGAAACAAAATTTGCTTTTAAGAAAGCTATATCACAATTGTGATTTTTCACTTAGATTAGTATTGCACAAAGTGTATGAAAAATAATTTGTGAGCCCAGAATATTTTCACGTAGTTCTTGCTTCTTTTGAATTTTTTCAGTAGTTGGCTTGCAATAAATGTTCTTCTATATATAGTATGAAGAAACTTGACAGTTGCTGCCTTCAAACGTGGAGAGCATTTAATGTTTACGTGTTTGCTTGCAGTATTGCATTTTCCAATGAACTAGCGTAGACACTTGAGTGCATGTAGCCGTCTTTGCATTAAATGAGCAAACGGCACTTTGTCAGAGCATGTCTCCTGATCCTTGACAAGACTTGTTAGCTTCTATATTCTTTCAGAACTTAGCTTCACGTCTTGATTCAGAACATGCTTGCATATCTTCTTATCAACGCTTGCTTGCTAAGTACTTCTGATCAGCGCTTGCTTTCAAAGTACTTCTGAACATGGAAACCTGCTAAGCGTTAGAAGATGCATTAAATAATTTCTTATCATAGTCAGCATCAGCACTTGCGCTAAAACAAATAGTTCTTTCATAAAAGAACTTCTTCATTTATTTTCAGCTCAACACATCAAAATGCTTCTGTTAGAACATTATCTGAAACAATTAAATACGTTCATCAGAGTATCAAATATATAAAATATAATTTATTGTCATCATAAAAACTCTGAGATGTGATCAGAACTAATCTTGTTCTAACAAGGTG